AAGTCCTTCTCCTAGTTTCTGATACTTTAAACTGTACCAAGGTAATCAAACGTGAGGATATTGGACGCTAACTCGTAGTGGAACGGCGTGTTTGGTTAGGCTACCTTCGATCTAATACTATGCTTGTGTGAGCGCACGTGAGATAACGTTTATTCAAATTTTCCTCCACTTATGGACAACACACAACACGTTACAGTGTAAACAGGAATGTAACAAAACTAATAATCTGGTGCTAAACCGCTGCATTTAACATGAATGAGAACTGTGCCCAAGACGGGAAAGCACAAAGACAGACTTAAAACATATCTAAGTGTGAATATTGACAGCTGCCGACAGAATCCACAATATTACCCGCCAAAAGTATATAACTTAACAAGTTGCAATCACACTCTCAACAATACACTGGGAAAGTATTGAATACTTGACATTACGACTTTTTTTTTTGTAACTGAACATGAAAGCCAGCTTGCGGCGACGATATGAACTCTATTTTCGTTTTCCCTGAGCAGGATGTTTGAAATTGGGACTGGAAAAAGTAGTAGTCTACCACCCCGCCCCACCCCAAGGCCACACCAAAGCACAGGTGGGAATAGTGCTTGTCACAATACGCCTCTGGGTGACAGGCACGCTGAAGGCTGGTTACTATCAAATCAACGCGCCATGCCGAGAAGCCTAATATGTAGCAACACTGAAAGCAGTCCTTTTGGAAATTAAAACAAGTAATCTATGTGAACACTTGTGACCAACTCTTCTAGTGTTTATAATAATAAATTTTATTTATACAATATACATTGGAACATGTTACAGTCGTTTATTTGTAGGTACACAAGTTTTATAGAAAGCCACTGATTAAAAAACGACGTACTGTCTTACATTAATTCAGTTTAGATCCCAGGATTCTTTACTGCTACGCTAACCCGAGTGTGATAAAACATGGCAAACAAAAAATTGCAAATAAGAAAAATGTGTGAAAGAGATAAACGAGACAATCTAAGAACAAAAAATTGAGATGGAGCGGGGTTGAGTGAGGCTACAACCTGTTCAGGGCTGGTTGATGACCTGAGAGACGCGCGCCGCTCCCTGTGACGCATACCCCAACATAGCTGCTTCCCGTGACGCACACCCCAACATAGTTGCTTACCGTGACGCACACCCCAACATAGCTGCTCCCCGTGACGCACACCCCAACATAACTGCTCCCCCGTGACGCACACCCCAAACATAGGCTCTCCCAGTGACGCACACCCCAATATAAGCTCTCCCAGTGACGCAATTCAATTTCAATTTCTTTCTTTATTATGCGCCCCATACCCATCCCGTGGGCGGTGGTGTAAAGGATTACAGAGGCACATAATCGGTTCAGGAACTGCTCCAGTGACGCATACCCAAACATAGCCGCTCCCCGTGACGCACACCCCAATCTCGAGCCTGTATATATTTCAACAATCATAGCGGATTTGTTTCCATTTATTAAACAGTTTACTAGTTTCGAAATTTCACAGTTTAAGGGTATTACTGTTTTATAATACCTCACACTGCTTTATTTGCGCTCATAATTGTTTAATATATGGACACAAAGCCGTTGAACACACATGCTTGTTGAAAGATATACAGGTTTCGTAAGAGGATGCGTATATGATGATGCCCCCCCCCCTAATGCACAGGCTGGACCTGCAAAGTCATCACACACCTGAAGCCCACACATGAGACGCTGTGTCATACCTTAAGAACAGGTGCTCAATGATGATAACAACTGGAGCTGTCGTGTGGTGGTGGATCCTCAAGATAGAAATTTTAAAAATTCTCTCCACTTTTAGGTAAGATTTGTATCCGCCTTTCCAAAAATTACAGAAGACAAATGCGAGTCAAATTACAGAACACGAAACAAATCTCTGGTCATACTGAGGACGTGTTGATCCAGCTCAGTGACTGCAGGCGGGGAATCTGACTTGCACTTTGTACAAAAATATTGCCAAATTAATATTTCAGTATCAACGGATTTGTTTTTGTACACAGTCATGACAACAGAGCCTTCGCCACCTGTGCCTCTAGCCAGGTAATTACCTACAGTGTGTCGTAGCTTTTACTGCCACAGTCATTCACTGAACTGAATAGAAACTAGCCATTAGCTGAGCTGAGTAGAAACTAGCCATTTGCTGAGCTGAGTAGAAACTAGCCATTTGCTGAGCTGAATGGAAACTAGCCATTTGCTGAGCTGAATGGAAACTAGCCATTTGCTGAGCTCAATACAAACTAGAACAGATTGCTCTACTCCAACAATATCGTTTTAAAGAGTATCAAACAGAAGAAAAACTTCTAAATCTAATCCAAACTGAACAGTATATAATGATAAGGTTTATATGCTATTATTGTGACTGGCTCTATGTAATTATATACTGTAATTTTGCATCAATTAACTTAATTGTAAATATACAATGTTTATGAACCTAGTTTTTTTATTTAATTTAATTTATTTAAATATTTCTATGAGCAGTGAACAGAAAAGCTATTTATAATATCACACTACAGCAACGTCAAGCACCAAGGCTGAATAGGCAGGAAATGGTTCATTATCGCCTAGGTGCGAACCACTGGTAATTATCATCATTATCCAGAAAAGAGTTTACTTGATTATGTCTGAACTATTCTGATGTTAACAGGGTTTTCCATGGGCGGGGTGTCGTTACTGGCACACACACACACACACACACACACACACACACACACACACACACACACACACACACACACATACACACAGGGTGTGTGTGTGTGTGGGTGGTGGGGGTGATAGGGTGGAGGCTCACTCCATACACAGTTTCAAGTGTAGATATGACAGAGCCCGATAGGCTCAGGAATCTGTACACCTGTTGATTGACGGTTGAGAGGCGGGACCAAAGAGCCAGAGCTCAACCCCCGCAAACACAACTAGGTGAGTACAACTAGGTGAGTACACACACACACACACACAGTAGGGTATATAGTGCGAGGCTGTAGCGTAGCGGGTCACAAAGTTCACCACTACTGGAGCAGCAGACACCACCACGCAAGGCCAGCACCCAGCCGTCCCCCTCAACGTTCCCTATTCAACACCATCACTCAGCCGTCCCCCTGACCACCATTACAGACCCCCCCACCCCAACATCAGCACCCACCCACAACGCTGCAATCATTGAACATCTCTGCCTCAAGACATTCATTGGTGCATGTGACCTGGTCCCCGAGGTGCTCAAGCAGGAGGTGGACGCGACCGAAAGAAAAAAATATGGAAAAAGAAGGAAAGATAAAACAAATTTAGATATAGATACGTATGCAGGAGTGAAAGACATTTGTGTGCAGTAATATAAGAGTGTAAGGGCTAGAGACTATTGTTGTTGTTGTTATAGATTCAGCTACTCGGAACAAGTTCCAAGTAGCAAGGGCTATGGTGAGCCCGTAGTGGACTTACCTGGCACAGGAGCAGTGCTAGAGACTGGTACATATCGTCACCTGCTCTGGGGGCATATAGGGCCCTAGGTGGTGCGCCATGTGCAGGCGAGGAGTTACAATAACGTGGCTGAAGTATGTTGACCAAACCACACACTAGAAAGTGGAGGGACGACGATGTTTCGGTCCGTCCTGGACCACTCTCAAGTCGATTGTGCAACATCACTCTCAAAGGATTTCAATGCGTTTAAAATACCTAGCTCACTCGGCTGGTTTGTGCCCTTGCCCCTGAGATCTATACAAGGTCACCCGCTCTCCTCTGTCACAACCTTCTACCATCACAGGCAATAACGCAGGGAGTATTTCAACAAATATGTGTCGTCAATTCTTTAATTTTCAGATTTATGGGCTGGGTGTCTAAACATTTGTATTGCTGTCATCGATTATTCTGTATTACATTACGCCATTCCGCAAATAGGTGTGGATGACATGCCTGTCGCGAGGCTTGGTTAAGGATCGTATGGTGTAGCCAGTCACTGGTTGGGTGACCACATGGAGAGCCTGGTCTTTGTACCAGGCAACTATGAGTTTCATATCCCCAACGGGTGCACCCATGACCATATACGGTATTGATGCAACACGCCACCTTCTTGTGTGAAGGAATTAATAGAAATGTAATTGTATAGTTGAGTTCGTTCTCGGCTCACAGTCGAGAATCTCAGGTGGGACAGAAATGGTTGGGCATGCTTCCTTTTATCTAATGTCTCTGTTCACCTAGCAATAATTAAATAAGTATCCGAGTGTTAGTCAACTGATTTGGGGAGGGTCTGTAGTTTGACGTTGAACGGACCACGATACGAGCTAAATGTACCAATGTATGAATTATGAATATATACACACACACAGGCTGCCTGTCCCCAACAAAACGAATTATTATTATTATAATGTATTTGCAATATGTGTGTTGTATAGATTTATGTGCTCCTTGAGAGACTGGTAATGAAACAAGGGTAGAAATAGCTTAGATACTGTATCCTTTTGGGATATATTTTCTTATCTCAATAAACTGACTTGAACTTGTGAGGCTGCCGCTCTTATCGGTCCTTAACACTGGTCACATTATCAACGTAAAGGAACCGGAGCTGGGAGGAAAAAAAGCAGCTCTGACATTGATGACTTATCCACTTTTAATTTTGTATTATATTATGCAAATAAATATTATTTCTCCAGATAAATTACCCTTAATACAACTCAAAAAAATACTTTGAAGTGTAATCCTGTTAATATTTGTTTATAACTACGTTAATTGGAACATTAAACAGAGTATTGTACCGTACTGTACGTCTAATGCCTTTAATAAATAAATTGGTGAAATTTACAAACACAAATATATACATTTGATAATGCGAGCAACTCGAAGATTTGCCTTAATTCTGTAAATAACGAGTGATCATCGTCTTACAAAATCGCATTACCTTCTAACAAAATTCTATTTTTGTTTAAACTTTATTGTTTGTAAATTTTAACTTTCATCGTCAACATTAAACTACTGATCTACAGTAACTTATTCTTACCTTCTTTATACTTCTATCGAGCTCCTCTTTATTCCACCAATTCTTTTACGTATTTTCTTCTCTCCGGTAATCCTAAAGGAGGGTAAATTTTCCTTAACTAATATACAAGTCGGGACACAATAACGTTAACTAACTTCAAACGTCAAGATAGCTGGAGACGTAGTGATATCTCCACCCACCCGAGCCGCTGGTCTTCTCTATACTGGTCCTCATACACGTCACTCGGTCAGTGGAACCCCGCACCTACCTGTTACATTCCTACCCCTCTCTCTCTCTTTCTTGATATATCCTTACCCCTTTCTCGTTAGATTTTTATCCCGCTATTGTCATATTTCTACCCCCGCATTCAGGTTGTGTAACTGTCTCACTCTTGCTATATTCATACATTGTTCTTGTTATATTCCTATCCCCCTCTTGTTATATTCCTACCCTACTCGTTACATTCGTATCAAACTCTTATTCAATATATTTATCAAACTCTTATTATTATATTTGTATCCCCCACTCGTGTTAAATTTCTACCTTGCTCTTGTTATATTCCTACCTTGCTCTTGTTATATTCGTACCCCTGCTCTTGTTATATTCGTACCCCAGCTCTTGTTAAATTTCTACTCCTGCTTTTGTTATATTCCTACCCTGCTCTTGTTATATTCCTACCCTGCTCTTGTTATATTCCTACCCTGCTCTTGTTATATTCCTACCCTGCTCTTGTTATATTCCTACCCTGCTCTTGTTATATTCCTACCCTGCTTTTATTATATTCCTACCCTGCTCTTGTTATATTCCTACCCTGCTCTTGTTATATTCCTACATCTTTTTTTGTTACGTCCTTAAACCGCGCGTTACATTCTTATACCATTCTTGTTATATCCTTGTCACTGTTTGTTATATTTCCCCGAAACGCTGTACGTATTAGTGGCTTTAGGCATTGTATTTACTAGCTCTATCCATAAATCCAACATTCTGTTTGTAACTCATCTTGTATGTATGTACTTTTATCTATATAAACATTTATTTATTATTTATTTACTTCGATTTACCTGAATGCCATCATTTTCAGTGGCCACAATGGGGACAGACAGCCAGCTGTTTGTCAAAGGTCAACTAATTGTTCCTGGGAATTTTTTTCCTTTTGGATTTAAAACTGAAGTAGTGTCTTGGCATTATTGGCTGGCAGTAGGTGGTTGCATAGGTTTATAATCCTATGGGTGAAGAAACAACTCAAATTTTCTTTCCTGTGTTGTGGCTTGTTGAGCTAGAATTAAGCCCATGTAATGCTTGCATTATATTTGACCTTTTAACAATTTGATCTGGATTAATATCCTCTAATTTGTTCAGTATTGTATTGTAAACGTCTCAATGAGATCAGCTCTGTAGTGTTTAGTTCTGTGGCCCTTAACCATTCCTAGTATGAGAGTTGATATAGTTCTGAGATGATTTTTGTCAGTCTGTGTTAACTTTCTCCAAAGCAGATATGTCTTTATGAAGAGTCGTCTCCATGCGTGGATACTGTAGTCCTGATAGGGGCACACCAGAGATGTGTACCCCTGTTCTTGGTATATCCTAACCCAGTTCATTATGTTCTTAGCCCGCTTGTTGTATCCTTACCACTTGTTATGTTCCTACCCAGCATGTTATCATGTCACTCCTTACACTTTATATTTCTAGAAATTTTAATTAAATTTTTGAATCTCTCCATAACGAAGGTTTCTATCATCTGGGATTAACTTGATCATCCTTCTCTGTATGTGTTCCAGTGACTTTACAACCATCCAAACGGAAACAAATCAAACTGCATTATCAAAATAATGCCTCATAAGGGCAAGATAAAGCTTAAGAATAATAGTTGATCTATTTAAATAAAACCACAGAGTATTAAATGCATGTTAGAATTTATGCCCATCATAAATAAAATTAAAGACATGTCCATTATTTATTATTTTTACACAAGCTCAAGTAAAAACAAGCAAATGGAGAATTAGTGCTATGTAGTAGTCAGCAGCACTAACAACCCCATAATACAGAAATTGTTCTGATGACCAAATATTTTTAAAATTTTTACAAAACTTCCTTTATCATTTAATCAAGCGATCTGCTTGTCCATTTCTACTGTTCTAATTTTTGATTTGCACTGCCATAACACACTGTAACCTTGCAACCTGGCACTAGCACTTCTTCATGCAGCTCTCTGACTGTATCTGTGCCACCTTGTTTTTTCCAACACTGGAATTTCATTGAACCAGCCACTTTCCTCCACTCCTAATTTCGACTGCATAATTCCCTTAATGAATCACACACTCCAAGTATTTAAACCAACTGACCATTTCTAGTACTTCAACGGTGACACTCTTATTCGCATAAAGAATTTCCACAATAAACTAAATTTTGTCGACATTCACTTTTAATTAACGGCCTTCTCTCACACATCTCAATTAAAATGTTAACAAGCCTACACAAATGTCTTTCATTCTCTGCTAAACATACTGTATCATTAACATGAATTATACATTAAATATGACATGTACATACATACATACATATCTTTGGTCTCTTAGGCGAGACCAAAGAGTCAAAGCTCAACCTCTGCAACCACAACTAGGTAAGTACATACAGTAAATGACCCCCCCTAAAAAAAACTTGCCACTTCAAAATGACAAGTAAAAAAACTTTGTGGTGGATAAAACAATGAATTTTAGCTCTGGCATGTTCAACATCTCTAAATGATAATAGCTTTAATTACTGCATTTATTTAAAAATCACATTTTACAATAAAATTCTTTACTAAGGCATTTAACAATCAACACAATTCAGGTTTCAACTATATTCACATAGAAATACTGGAGTGATGCTCTACAAGAATATAATTGCAACAAGAATTAACTTTAAAATTTTCAATAGCACATTAATTTTCAAAATATTTTAGGTTGTTGTTATAAAGTACAGAACATGGCAACATGTCACTTAATCTACAACTGGGATTAAGATACTAATTGTTTTCATCTTTTCTTTCCTTCTATGATGTTGACCTTAACTGTTATCTTTACCTTCCTCACCCACCTCCTCCTCCTCTTCTTCTTCTTCCGATTCTGATGGTGGTAAATCCATATCATCTGTAAATTAAGCATAAGGAACAATCGATACCAAGTTTCCAGGTACTATACATTAGAATTAGGAAGAGCTGCAGCAGGCCTGTTGGCCCATACTAGGCAGGTTCCAGTCATATTTACTTTTCTTTTTAGCAGTATAAATATATAGACAACAGAACTCTTTAATTTTATGAATGAACTATATAACTATCTATCTGATTTACAATGACTGGCAAGGGAACCTACAAGCAGCTTGATGGAATGCAGGTATAAACAAGGAAAATTGTCAGATGATTGCAAATGATACCACACAATTATTAAATACATAATTAAACAAACCTTCCAGAGCACACAAAGTTCTGCACGATTTATGCTTATACACAGTTAAAGAAGGAACTTGGATAGTAAGATAAATACTATATTAAAACTTCAAATAATTTCTAACCTTTTATTCTCCGAGATTCTTCATCAAGTTCCTGAAGGTAAACATTTTGTGCCTCGACAACTTCAGCACTGGTACTACATGCGCTATATTTCTCTAAAAGCTCTTCATTTATTTTAATAAATGTTTTACCCCATTTAAACTTGCTCAGGTATAATGTAGCAGCTTCTTTTTGGCCTGAAATAAGAACAATTTGATAATGTTCAAAATTTTGAACTGTGACCATAAAAGTGTCTAGTATTCAGAAACTAGACTTTTACCATTGGCCAAAAATGGGCACTGGTAAGGAACAAAACAATTTCTTACCCCATAAACTTCTACATTCACATTATAAACTATTATTACTATACATAATTCACTATTAATTTACCGAGTAAATCAATTCAATAATCAGAACTCTTACCACAAATATACATAGTGGATGCAATGGCCTCTACGCATGATAACTTGCATGGTCGACCATAGTTAATAGGATTACAAGCAACGAGATACGGCAAGAGCCTTGGATGAGCTGCTTTCATTCTGTTGAAGGGAGTCTCTGACAGCTTTGCCCATGAGCAATCCACTACAGCAATTCCATGATGAAGGAGAATGCTTTCATCCTCTGGCGAGATACACTGCAATGAGTTATCATTTATAGGAGCCTTTTAGAGAAGAATTAGAAATTTAATTCATAACGTGTACAAATAATTATAATAATGGCTGGACTAAACAGGTGTACAATAGCACAATTTCAAAGGTAATATATATATATATATGAGAAATATAGTTTATTATTAGAGTGGTGAGACATTATTGGCACAATTTATATCACAATATTAGGTTGATGAGAAGACAATTTGAATGAGAACTAATCTTAACTAATCATTCTTATTAAAAGTCTTTTTTCCACTTTTTCCTTCCGTCTAATTTGCTGTTTCTAGCAATGGATATAATCCCCTGGTATGATTGCCTGAAATAAAATCCTGCTTATAGAATGGGTAAAAAAATTACCCAAACCCTTTATCAAAATGACATCAGCTTGCCTCCAGTGTCATCTCCAAATCGAGGCATTTTCTGCGATTTCTTTCAATTGTATTTATCCTCCAGATTCTAACTAGTGCTTCCTCATCAGTTAATTTAAAATATGTCTCTTAACTGACCTATATGAAACTAGACAAACCTGATTGGTTAGGCTGATTTCAACACTGAAGAAACCAAACACTATATTAGCACTCTCCGATATAAATAATATTACAATAAACATAAGAATTCTACCCCATTGGAAACCAAAGCAGAAACAATAGACTTACAGTATATGACTCATCTAAGGCATGCAGACTGTCACAGACTTCAGGGGTCCTGTAATACTAACTACTATGTGTAGTTACGTAATACTACTAACGACATCAAAATCTATACGGTACCTTCTTCCCAACTGGAGTAAGAACCAAGCCACCAAATCTCTGGCCAAGTTTGAGAAGTTTAACCATGCCATGCCGAGCCAGTTTTCTTCCTGAGCACTTCTTTGGGTCACAGTGCTGCAGATCCCACATGGCTACGGAGTAGCTTATATCGCTCAATTCGAAGCTCGTCTGGATAAATCAGGTTCGTGAATTAAATAGCTGTATATTGATTTAATTAAAGTTAAAATGTGTGATGTATTAGAATTTATAAGATAATGTGCAATGAGTATCCATATATGAAGAATGTGTTTGAAAATAAAGGCAAAGAACTCTTCATTTACAACAGTATCTACTATTGCATACAATTTGTCTATTTCTATGCTATAATCGACATTTCCTTGGAGACACACCTCATCCTTGATAAGGTTAACCTTTAAAGAATCTTCTAGTTTAAGTGTTGCAAATGCTGCCACCAAGAGCAAGCATAAAATATAAGGATTTATTTAGTTGGCTTCCATTGCATTCCTCATGAAGTTGGAGATCAAATGGTGGATACCAATACGACAGAGTTTTATGATACAGTACTGTCTATTCAAATTCATTATATTAATTGACATTCAAAATGCATTTTCGGATTTAGAGCAGTCTGCGAGCTCCAAACACTTAAATGCCACAATCTTTTGAGGTCACTCTGGGCACCACTGGATACTCCATAAATGTGGGTTAATGATTTAGATGGCATTTGAAAATTTTCAGTCCTAGTAAAGTAACCAGGTTTCATAAATACCTTCCTAAATAGTTTAACATTGTTTCACTTAGGTTTCATTTGGTTAATTTGTTTTAAATGCCTTTAAGGAATTCACTGAACCAGTGACTAACTGATCTATTTATACTGTGTCAAAAAATAACAAGGTGCTCTATCTTATGAGTAGAACTAATTATACCTGTATACTTATAGACATTTAAGGAATCAACTAACCTCACCATCACTGCTGTCCTGATCATCATCCTCTTCCTCCTCTAAATGGGTGGTCTTGTTGACTTCTTCTCCTGCTTCATATTCTTCACTTTTATCTGTTATCCCATAGCATTAACAAGTCAGTATTCCACAATGTTTCCCTGTACTCTTCCACCAAAAAGGTTAATGTGGATATCATTATTAATATAAAACATCTAACTGAAATACTTCGTATAAATTGAGGAAACAGAAAGTGAACTGAATGGTTCTGCTCAGAAAGTTTTTTTCATATTCAATCAAAGACTATTTCTAAGCTATCAGTTTCACTTGCTCCCTAGCATTGTAGAACAGAGCCCATGATGTGCAGAAACACAAAGTGCCCACCATCCTGAACAGATGAACTGAGAGCACCAATACAGCTACCACCTATAGATCTAGGAGTAAGAAACAGCCAATCAGATGAGATAAATACTGTACGAGTGTAGCCAGAAGGTGCCAAACCAAAGTGACTTCACAGAATCCAAGCTTTAAGGATGATAAAACCCCAAAGCCAATGTTTTTGCCTTACTCTGTGCTAGAAAACTATGAATTGGGAAGAATGGAACAACAAAGCCCTTTGAGTCAAAGCAATGAAAACCATCAAAGGCCAAGGATACAACAATGTTACATGGGAAGGGTAAATGTTAAAACAAATTCAAAGTTACTGAAAGGATAGCTGAAAAAAATGAAGCCAAGTCGAAGCTACAGAGGCTATAATGATATTGGCCTATATGAAGAAATCATAGTAGACAAGCATTCTTCTGCAAAACAACAAAATCATAAAAGACTAAATTCAATAGATTTCTTACTTTTGAAATATCAACAGAGCAGGATTTCCTGCATGGTGTATTTGTTGTACTGCTCATTATTTCATTACTCACTACAGTAATTTAATATTACAGTCATCACATTAAGTAATTACAGATCAATAACTGAGAAGGCCAAATCCACAAAGACTATAAATATTTTTGACATTTTAATTTAAGGTTTACATTAATGTCTCACTTCGACCATTATTAAAATTCAAATACTGCAGCATGAAATGATCTGAAAAGAACAACTATTATAGCCATATACAACTGTCACTCATGAAGACTTTGCACGCTCCTCACGGACCAAATATTTGTATTAATTTTATGTTTTCTAATAATTCAAATGTAGAAAATTAGAGTGATTTTAATAGAATTTATAATAATCACCTAGTGTACAATACAAAAATTTGGGACATACTGACCTCCATAATCTAATGTAATTCAGTATTATAATGTGTTATAACTATTATAGTTCAGAATGGGGTTCTTTAATTAGCAAAATATTTAAATATTTTTTAATACCCTGTTGTTCAAAGCCCCCATGTATTCAGAATTTAATGCATGACCTTACTATTACAGTATATACATTAAATTTATAAACCGATACCTTTTATTTCAAGCTTCTGCAGAGCATCATCTTCTAGTACTTGATTAAAATTTGCTGTTGCTGTATCTGAACTTCCCTCAAATCTTTCCCGTCGCCCTACTTGCTGCTGCCGATTTCCTCGGCTGCCTTTTCCACCACGAGACATTCCTTTGCCACCCTTTCTCATCTGACGGTTCATCCTGGAGGTCAATTTAATGCAACCTCAATTATCTGGATAAATTGGTATCTCCAGATGTCCAGATTACTGAAAATATGAATAATTGGGTAAAAACATACTAGCTGTAATTTTTTAAATTTGTTATTTATTAATTTGAGACACTTGTACTCAAAATATTTGTAGTGTAATGATGTTTTAATTGGAATGCACCAATGTACTGTATATGTAGGAAAACCAATTAAATTGTTTTATTTGGTGTAAATAAGTATATTCAATCAAATCACATATAGACTTCATGGATAATGGTAGGTACCGGTTAATCCCATGAACTGAACATGCTCTGGTTAATGCTGGTGAACCAGAAATCTTAATGTCCAAATAATTTGAGAATCCAGAATAGGGGGTATGCTATTGCATATAAAGTCATACCACACCATTGGTTTGTATCCAAAGTATACATCTTTAAGTTTGCTTAAGGGTGAATGGAATCATATACTGTATATGTATATTTATATATACAGTATATGTTTATGCATGCATGCATACGTGTATGTGTGCGTGCGCGCGAGTGTACTTGTGTGCGTACACATATATACATAAATAAGTCTATAATCTTTGCAAAGAATATATGATAACCTGAAAAATGCATCAAACTATCTATAAACCTGGATTTATAGATAAACTAATACTGTATACCTAATACAAACTACAACAGTTACATTTCAAAGTGAGAATTTATAGATAACTAGTCTACAGAATGTCATGATATACAAATTGAACAAATTCTGATCATCAAGTGGCAAAAAAAATATTAAAATAAAATTAACACACAGACCTAAACATATACTTGGTGGGACGTAGTCAAATCGTGCACAGGAGTTTTGAAAAAAAATACTTCTTGTTAAAAACAACATTGAGCTAGGGTTGATTTGGTTAGGTAGGTGGTATATGGTCAAACTGTAGAGCTGTTACAACAAACCTTGTTTTCTAATTGTCAAAACAAGGTGTCACTGGGGTCATAGGTCACGTACACAAAACGGTTCGCCAACCAATTTTAAAACCTAACACAAGCGGGTCTAATATAAGCTTATACATCCTAATCTAACTATTCGGTTTTAACAAAACTCCGCCTGTGAACCTGTGTGAAATGCATAGACGAACATGTCATCACAGCTGATTGCTATTTTTGTCCTAAACCACCTTTACAGTTCCATTATTTGTTAAACTGCTTGCTCTAACTATCATTCTAATATAAGTTTTAATGAATTAATGTAGAATTAATACATGTTGTGTTGATTTAGGGGCGACGATGGAATCTATACATACGGAATAGTTGTAGTGCCCGTTCATGTAGTATAGAATTTTCCACGTTGTTATAGATTCAGCTACTCGGAATAAGTTCCAAGTAGCACGGGCTATGTTGAGCCCGTAACTTACCTGGCACAGGAGCTGGGAAAGTAGCACGGGCTATGGTGAGCCCGTAGTGGACTTACCTGGCACAGAAGCGGTGCTGATTTTCCACGAGCCAGTGTTGTTGTTTACATGAGGCGCTCAGCTGGACCGAGGTCTCCTTTGGGAGGGGGGGAGGGGCTGCTCTTGGAAAATATATCTTTTGAATTATTGTCCGCTTTCTGTGCTGATCGTTGCAGTAATAGTATGTTTAAAGTGAAAACAATTTAAAATAATACGTTGTACACAAAACGGTTCGCCAACCAATTTTAAAACCTAACACAAGCGGGTCTAATATAAGCTTATACATCCTAATCTAACTATTCGGTTTTAACAAAACTCCGCCTGTGAACCTGTGTGAAATGCATAGACGAACATGTCATCACAGCTGATTGCTATTTTTGTCCTAAACCACCTTTACAGTTCCATTATTTGTTAAACTGCTTGCTCTAACTATCATTCTAATATAAGTTTTAATGAATTAATGTAGAATTAATACATGTTGTGTTGATTTAGGGGCGACGATGGAATCTATACATACGGAATAGTTGTAGTGCCCGTTCATGTAGTATAGAATTTTCCACGTTGTTATAGATTCAGCTACTCGGAATAAGTTCCAAGTAGCACGGGCTATGTTGAGCCCGTAACTTACCTGGCACAGGAGCTGGGAAAGTAGCACGGGCTATGGTGAGCCCGTAGTGGACTTACCTGGCACAGAAGCGGTGCTGATTTTCCACGAGCCAGTGTTGTTGTTTACATGAGGCGCTCAGCTGGACCGAGGTCTCCTTTGGGAGGGGGGGAGGGGCTGCTCTTGGAAAATATATCTTTTGAATTATTGTCCGCTTTCTGTGCTGATCGTTGCAGTAATAGTATGTTTAAAGTGAAAACAATTTAAAATAATTATGTGTACAATGGGTCACTTAGCTGTAAGATACTGTCCATTATTTCCTAGGTGTAAGAATTTTGTTTCTGCTCTTAAAACTGCTACAGGGTAGTCTAATAGATTTTAACTGTCATTGATCTATCTTAATTATTATTTAGCTCACTAAGCTAGACTGTCGAGACTGAATAAGTCATACTCTAATTAATAATAATAATAATAATAATAATAATAATAATAATAATAATAATAATAATTAACAATATTTTATTTATATAATTAATTTTGTTGGGGACTGGAAGCTTCCACTGTCCTCTGTGTCCTACCTCTTTTAAATGAAATATGCTTTCTTTGTCCACTGTGTCTATTTCCCTCAAAATTTTATATGTAGTTTTCATATCCCCCCCTCTCTTTTTTCTAAGGTTGTGAGAATAGGTTCTCTTAATAATCTCAAAGCTGAGGCTTCTTAATTCTGGAACCTGTCCTCGGGTTAGGCCCGTTAAAGCAGCGGGTAAAATTCAAGGCATAGGTTAGGTGTAGGACAACCTATGACAATTTCAATGTAGGACAGGGGGCAGGGGGGGGAATTATCAGGTGGAAGCGCCAAGCCATTACGACTATATAGCACATGGAAGGGGTCAGGATAAGGATTTGGGATGGGACGGGGATGAAGGAATGGTGCCCAACCACTTGGACGGTCGGGAATTGAACGCCGACCTGCATGAAGCAAGACCGTCGCTCTACCGTCCAACCCAAGTGGTTGGGCAATGTAACACAGAGAACAAGTTGTTTTTTTCACCCGCAGGGTTATAAACCCCATGAAACTGCCTATTCACCAGGGTCTTAGCTGGGGTTCCAGCTAAGTTTCGAGTAAACCATTCGAATTTGAGTGAATCATTTGGGGAGTCAGTTGGCCATTTCGATGCTTTGCTGGCTATGCTGGCTTTCTCGATGCTTTGTTGGTAAGGGTGAGTTAGTTTAGTTCATTTATTATGCACCCCATACCCATCTTGTGGGCGGTAGTGGAAAGGGTTACAGAGGCACATAATGGGCTCAGGGACTGAGCCCTGAGATGACATCAGTTGTCATCTCAGTGACAAATCTTCAGGAAACCAGCCTCAGAAATACAATAATTTTTATGACACCATAAACAGCATCTACCAATTTTTCATTAGTTGGGCTTGAATATTATAAAAAAAAAAATAATTTTTAATTATACTTATCTGCCTCAGAGAAAGCAACTGCTTTAGCTCGATTGTTCAATAAACCCTTGAACTATATTTTTAACACATCTCTAACCCTGTCTATGGAGGACAAACGAAAATGTATATATGCTGGTTAGCATTGTAACAGTGTGGCCACGTCTGTGGTAGAAAATAATAAAAAAAAAATAAATAAAAAAATTAAAAAAAAGCTCATCTAGTTGCATATACAAATGACTATAATGTAGTAACCCTCCCATCCCTAATAGCTGCCATTGGTTGTGATGAAAGGTGATTTATCGGCTACTCTTTATTTATAATAGAATTCCTATACTAATTCTTTTTTAATTACAATCTTATACATAGGTTACTTGATCCTAATATACAGTATTGCCACAATATTTTTGCCAATACTTAATGAGATTCTTGAGGCTGATGCAAACTAGCCAGCTTTTGAATATCTAGTTGTAGCATTGTTAAAGATAGATGAAGACCTCTAATTTTTATAACATCAAAACGATTACAAGCTTTTGATAACAAGTGAAGAACACTACTTAAGCAAGATTTGAACATATAAGAAGTGGGAAATCTGATAAAAAATAATTTTGCCTTTTCCCAGACTTGTGGAAACTTATCTGCAATTACACCACTTATTCAGAAATTCTATTTGCCCTTTTTATTTGCCATCTCACTTGAGCATTGCAAACATACATATACTTGTAATGCTCAACATACACAAAATAATCTTTGTGAAATTCTGTGTCAACAGAAGCCATGGATGGAAATTACATTAATTTGTGACATCCAGTACAATTCCAGAATAGTTTTTTTTTACCAAGGAAAGGATAATAGCCTCTTTGCAAGATATAGGCAACAGTTTTCCCTTGTAACCGATTGTTCAACAAATTCATCTTTTCAAACAAGTCTGATCAATAAAATATGTTACATTATCAGTAATGATCTATTTTCCCAAGCAGTTTAGCACTTAGATATAATACAGTAGTGTTCAAGAGTGCAACAAAACGACTGAGGCAATTACCCTTTGGTAGTTATCGAATCACAGTATGCATTAGTAAGCATGTAAAATCTTAACCTTAATCCTCGTAAAACTGTACAAAAAGACAGTCTTAAAGTGCATTTGATTTAATGAATACCAAGGAATTAATGCAAATATCCGCCCAACTTTCTTAGTTCATTTATTATGCACCCGATACCAATCCTTTGGGCAATAGTGGAAAGGGTTACTTGCAACCAAATGTTGACAGTGGATCATGTATTGTATGCCAAAACAAAATTTTGGGCAGGGATTTATTTAAATGAGCAGTGAATCCTCTGTACCTTCCTACTGTCAGTTATGCAAGCCAATATATTTTCTAATGAAATAATGTTTTTCCCAAGCTGTTTTTTCCTTCTAGGTCCCACCTAGAAGGAACTACTAATCTTCTCCAGGATGCAGCACACATCTATTGCCTAACTCCTGGGTATTAATTTACAGCTAGGTGAACAGGCACATCAGGCAAAAGAAAACATACCAAACCATTTCTGCGCCGCTTGGGAACCAAACCCAGGTTCCTCAACTGTTAGTCACGAACATAGCTTGATTATAAATGGATCAAGATGCCTAAGCATGTGATATGACGAAGCCGTACAAAAACTTGCATCTAAAAATACTGTATTATATTGAGCTAAACACCTAGAGGACACGAATGATTTGAGCATTGAATGTAAATTGACCTTCAAAACCAGGTATTGCATTTGAATAGCATCACTGACTGTTACAAGTACAGCTTGTTATTGAATATTTTAAATATTTAAGATGACTAATGTTAATTTTTTGCATTTATGCAAAGTATACAATATATAACAAGGGCATTCTGGTGTGTAGGTCCTCCTGGGAATATTGGAATAGTATAACCTTGTTCCCACAGATTCTTAATAAAATATACCGATCTAAAATTATAATTCTATGGATTTGGTCATCTGGATGTCACACATACAAAAGGGCACATATCCAGCTTAAATGAGCACCTTGTATAATCTATCTTAGGATACAGTATTTTATGTTCACAGGTTCTTGCTAGTGACTAGAAGCACTCATATAACTATAATCACTCAAAACTCAAACTTACTTTTACTATCATATACAAACCATATCTCCAAGTGTTTAGAATAATCAATAAATGCTGGTACAATATAAACATAATGATGACATGTGAATGTAGATTAGCTTACAATCTTGGTAAAATCCTACACTTGTTTTCAAGTCATAGTCAGTATCATTTATTTCCTATCTAGTGACATAATCTGACCATGATGATATTAAGCAAATATTGTTTTGTGTTGGTTAGTTGTCCACCATGTACATTATTAATTAAGATATATTTGTAAGTTATGCTTGGCATGTTTATTACTCAAAACTAAAATAGAAGCTCAACAGCAGAAGTTAAAGTTCATAAGTACCAGAGATAGACCATTATCAATACAAAATCAATGTACAAGTCATAATTATATATTTTTGGTGGTAATTGACTTTGTAAAATTACAATCAACTGCATACCATTTCTAATTTAATGTTTAGCTTCAATTTTATTATCTGGATCATCTGTCCAATTGAGAAAAGGTTTCAGTTTCTTAACAGCTGCTTTCTGGCTCTTGGTAAGAACAGCCTCCTCCTGGAATTCAGCCCTCGTCTTAACAAAGTCAATGATGGTATCCTTTGGCAGTCCCAAATCACTCCATAAAATTGTCTCCCAGTCACCTTTAAAGCTTATCAAGCTTTCCTGCAAGGAACATATTCAAGCATTAGAAAACACAAATATAATTACAGTATTCAAATTTAAACACCCAAAACTACTGTATTAGTAATTATACTGGGGTCTGGGGTAAGTTGAGTTGCTGGTTCAATTTCCCTGATTTACTCTAAAATTTGCACTGTAATATTTATCCAAATGGAATATATCTTTGGATATATTTGGATTTGGAAAAACTCAATACTATATTAGGCAGTGGTGTCCAAACTATGGGGCACTCCCCATTAGGGAGGAGCCAATAATGGGCTTATGGGTCATGGCCTATCAGTAGAAGAATACAAAGTATCAGATGAGGGATATGAAATTGAATTGAAAATTAATCTACAATGAGATTTATATTTATAATAAAAGCATTATACATTTTACATCACATGATGTATACACACCCACACATCATGAAATGATTATTCAAAATATTACTGATTGTAAATGAATGTTCATGACATTGGGTATGCATTCACAATTAAATACAATCTTAGTTGTTTCTTGGGTTTTATGTTAACTGCTGTTAAATGCTGAAGGCATGCTATGATATCACTGCTTGCTTTGGTAGGGAAGTACCAGAGACAAGTTGATGAGTGCCTTGGAGATAGACACACTCACAAGCAATGAATTCAACCAGGAATTCAGCAACACCTAGGTAACTGTGGTCAAAGATGCTGACTCTTACAAAATTGCAAAAAGCACTCTCTACAAATCAAAAATCCAACCACAGTCTTTCTATGATCAATGTGAGGAAGATGACCCTGAAACTAAGCAGTACTGAGGAAATAGTTAGATATTAAAATACTGATAACTACACCATGAAGAAAAAGTAATGTACACTCTGAGCACAGGCAAAGCCTCAAGCAGAAATGTTAAACCATTAATTTGATCTAGTCTCTAGAAAGCTGGACATCCAGACAGGTTAAGCAAGTTTACAGGATCCCAGTTGTGTTGTGTAGTTTGGGCTACCAACTGATGCTGGTCAGATGGTGAGTAGCTCAATTTAAATCATTTACAAAGTGATCATTGACAATCCTACTAACTCCAGTTATCATTAGAATGGGGGTTTGGAGCAGTTTATTGAAATTTTCCTATATACCTTGCCATGATGTGGCAAAGGTTACAGAGGGCCTAACTTATGAATGCTAACTCAGGGTAGCTCAGAGTAAAATTATCCTATCAAATTTTTAAAATTTAAATTCATAGCTTTTATCTAATCCTTTTTCACTATTCAATCATGAATCTACATCCCCCAGTTTGGAAATCACTGACTGAAGCCATAAAATAGACATCACCTGACCTGGTCCAGACGAGTGTAGACTGCACGTTTGTAGTAATGAATGGGGTTGTAGAGGGAAGGTTCTGCAGCAAAACTGAGTTGTGGTGGTGGGTGAGGAGAGGTGAGGGGAAGGATAGCAGGAACTCCAAGGGTCTCTTGCACCCACTCCATGTTTCTCTTCAGGAACTCCCACACTACCTGTATTGCAAATCATCATACAATTGAAATGAATGATAATTACAATTATTTAACTAAAATACAATATGAGGGTACTCAAATTATATATATAAAAAACTATGTACTGAGGGACACCCATATGAAGGCAAGAGCATTTTCTCATAACGGTCTTCTAAACCAGAGGATATCATATGGAAAAACAGCAAGGTTTAGAGTTAATATTAGAAACTGTTTTTCTAACTAGATCATTATGTGCATATTCAAATACATAATAAGACAAGTACATTAGATTCAAGCATACCACTAGTGCGTGCTGGCCCTGAACAGAGGAGAGAACAGTGTTAGTTAAGGCGGTGCACACAGACTCTATCACATCTTCATCAGTGTACTCATCAAGGCTGTCTTCCTCACCATTATCTTCCATTTCTTCAAGCCTGGTAACAAAAACTGAGTGCCAATAAAACAATGCTTGCTGATGGTGTAATATGCAATACAAGAGGAATAATGCTCAGAAAATGGAGGCAATGTTTTGAGAGAATAGGCTACATTTTAAGAGGAAAAGAGTCAAAGTGTTAAAATGGGAGAAGCGAAATTTAAAAGGAATGTATCATTATATGTAGTCGTTAAATCTGTTTTATAGAACTACAAAAATATATTAATATAAATTAAATTGAATAAACATGCTTTATTTCAATCATTGTATTGCAGGGGTGGAAGATGCCTCAAGTTGCAGCAGAACAAAATTGCTGACATAATCTACAGTGTATATTATTACTCAACTCCAATTATGATCAACAGTGTATATTATTATGCGACTCCAGTTTCTGAGCTATACCACTCAGATGATGTGTAAGTTAACATCCACATTGTCTACTTGACAGGACAGGTAAATCAGGTAGGATGACATTTTGACAGTGCCTCCATAGGGAACTTTTTATGGAATACCCGCCCATACTCAGGTGTCAATAGTAGTGTTCTCCGTCTCTCACACTCCATCAGTGCACAATGAATGTGATGAATCTATGAATAAATATTGATAACATACTTCTGGTTGAGATATTTTTAGCCCATAAGAAGTCCAGTCAATAGTGTGTGTGTCTGACGAGTTCAGGGCCATGGGGTTCAATTCCATCACATGGGCTCAATATTAATTCATCAATTCTTCACTTTCATTGTGCCTTCCAAGCCCACTTTGGCATCATACGTGACCATCAATAGAATGTTGTAAACTACAATTTGGGCCACGTGGATACCCTACAAATGTGTAAAATGGTGATAATGATAAGCCATCATTACTTCTTTGGACTGTATGATAAAATATATGTAGCATCTAATCAAGAGGTTTATTCTTAAAAAGTATTATGTGATACATTATCTGTATTATTTTTTATATAACCCATCTTTGTATTAAATGAATTCTTAAGCAAATCTTACGCATTTATGCTGTGCCATTATGATATGTAGCCTGTGTGGTATGATGTGTACTTGACCAAACATTGAAATATTACTGACTGTGCCAACAACGACTGTGTCATCTGCTTCAAGTGAGTATCATAGTTGCCGTCATGCAGAGAGCACAGCCGTTCTCCCACAGCAATCATCATGTCCCACTGTCCATCCGTGATTGGCGAGTCACTCAATTCGTCCAGAGATGCACGAGAGTTGATGGCCGAGTACAAGGCATTCACCACTATCTGAGTTATTACCTGTAAAAGGGAAGAACCAGCCCTGTCATTCTTCCAAAGGAAAATGGAGTGTTCAGTTTGCAAGTAATCTTACAAAGATAAATAAGTAAAGACTTAGAAAAAACTTATCTATGATATAAAGTCCTGAAGTATGAGATACCTTAAGAATGTTATGACCAATGGAACTTTTATACAGCAAGCAAGAATCTTATAAAGTTACCTATAAAAAAAATGTTTCTCTGTGTCCATCTGTGCAAGATTGGAGGTCAGATGCTTGGGGTTAGTGCAACATGTTTCCTTGCCTTGACAATTACAATACTTACAAATAAGACACTAATCTTGCACTAGGGAGCATTTGAGTGTAACAACTCAGAAAACATTGTCTTGTCCTCATTATTTGAGGAAAGTCAAAAGGGGAAAAATGAATGTGTTTAGTAATAAACTTGTAATTGTTTTTCTTTGTTCCAAGAAAAATATTGTAAATTCTGTAATTGATCTGATTTTTATTGTCTAAATTAGAGGACAAGATGAACAAATAATACTTCATTGCAAGTTTAAATGTAAACTGGAACCTATTAAGTTCATTGTTTTCATCTTGAATTCTGCAAAAACTGTTAGTCACCCTTTTGTTAAAGTTAATGTAAGGCAAATGCACAAATACAACAATTTCCAGATTAAATGCTTCTGTACAAGATACAATATGATCAAAATATTCCTGGACTACTTTATTTAAATGAAAAGTTTGTAAAGTATCCCTGCAACACACACTAAACAAATCTCACATGGCCTCCAGTAGGCTTGATGGTTGGTGGTAAGTATGAGTTGATCGTGTGTGCCACAAATATGACGGACATGGGCACAGTGTCAGCAACTCCTTCCATCCCCGTCAGCAATTGTAAAGTCCAGGCAGCTAGGTGATGCTCTAAACGCACAGACAACTGGCTTGGGTGAGCCGGCTTGGCTGGTGGTAGTGGGGGAACTGCCCTTATAACCTGTCCATATGTAACAATCAGGTCCAGAAAATAGATATACTGTAAGTTTATCCCCACAGTTACACCCTAAGATAGAGCCTATGATCAAACCAAGACAATGCCAGGTATACAGGGCTCTGTCGGCTTTCTTCATCACCACCATGACAAGTAACTTTGCAAATAGTCTTGCCATGTAACTAAGGTTAGGGTTGACAGAGATTTCTCAAGGTACATTCACACACTACAAGATAAAAAATACAAATAAGAAAATTCAAACCACTTGTTCCACTGACTACTGGTTAATACCACTAGTCACTATTCCTAACTGCCAGCAGGTGGCAGCATCATAAAGGACAACAGGATCATATCTGTTTAGTTTGATTTCTGGTTGGTGGCAAGGCTACAAGAGCAATAAGTAACCAGTTTGTCTCATTCCTTTATGGACTTTGTCTTTCTGGCCAGCAGCTGCTGTAAACTCCCCTCCTCTTCTACTTCCATTTTTTGGTGTACATTTATTTAGGCCCTTCTCCCTGAATTTTGGTGTTGCCTGGGCTTCAAATGAGACATGACAGCTCACTGACCCCTGTTGTTCTGTAGGGTGCTGCCACCTGGTGGTGGTCAGGAGTATTTGCACGTGGTAATAACCCATAGTTACCAGTGATAAGAAGAGTTCCTCATGAGTCTTAAGATTGCTTGTATGGGAATTTACATTCTTGTTTACCTTTTTATGTCTTATAACAAGCAACCACAGATTGGGGTCAACCTTCTTCTAGAGTTATGTGTCAGGACCATTTGCAAAGATATTTGGCAGTTTGCATGTGTGTGTGTGTGTGTGTGGGGGGGGGGGGGGGAAAGGGGAAGTGGAAAGTTGACATTGTCATGGGCAGCCTACAGGCTCGGGTTCAAGGAGGAGCAACCGAAGGATCAGATAAAAAAGGAGTTTTTTATTTTCTTACTTAACATGGTCAACTGGACAACAGGACATCATTTCTATAAGAGACAGTTTTATATAACTGCCACCCCATCCCCCCCATCTTTCAATAAAGAAAACAATGTCTAGTAAGTGACATTATTCAAAGGTTGCATCATGTATTTATTTCTAAATAAACAAAATCAATATTCAAGTATGTAATTACAGCAATCTCTGTGAATATCACATCTGAAATAATTTAGTTTCTCATTAGATTATTAAATACTGTATTAGAATTTAGTTTAATGCTGTAACCTGTGTGTGATAAACCACTATCATAGCATCACCTCGCACTAAATTATTAATTACTGTCAAATTAAAAATATATTTCATCTTATGGGAATGCATAAAGTACTGTATTAACAAATGATTCAATTCCAGACCTCTGATACAACTCCCGCTACACTGGGAGTAACAAGCTGTACGAGAGCATGATGCCAGGGCGGCCGCTGGATGTTCCACACCTACCAGGGAGGACTTCATATAAATAATATATAACATTGACATTAATGTTGAGCTTTTACAATCACATCTTACATATTTCACATAACACACACACTTTTGACCTTGATTCTTTTGCGCAAGCACACAATTAATCTTACATATTTAACATAATACACTGATATTCTTATATATTTCACACTAGCATACATTTTTAATTTTCTATCATTAAAATTAAAGGTTCAACTTTTTTGTATTTTAATAATATCTAGTCTGTTCTTACAGCAGGGAAGAACACAAAACCTAGAGAACTATATTCAATACAAGAGAGAACAGCACCCCCCATACCCAGAGGCACAGACTACCCAGTGAAGGACCTGAACCAAACCAAAGCTTTCAAGAGAAAAGGGAAAGGGCCAGCAAGGCACCCGGCCCACATTAATAAACTGGAGAAAGTGCAAACATATGCAACTAAATGGCTTCCGGAACTGAAAAACAAGAGCTACGAAGAGAGGTTAGAGGCATTAAATATACCAAAGCCAGAAGACAGAAGAAAAAGAGGTGATGTCATCGCTACATACAAAAATAGTAACAGGAATTGACAAAGAATTTTTGAAAACTGCAACTTCAAGAACAAGAGGACATAGGTTCAAACTAAGGAAACAAAGCTGCTGGAAACACATTAGAAATTTAACTTTTGCAAACAGTGGTAGACGGTTGGAACAAGTTAAGCGAGATGGTGGTGGATACCAAAACCATCAGTAGTCTCAAAGCACCATACGACAGAGTATGTTACTGGGAAGACAGGGCACCATGAATGTAGCTCTCCTCCTGTAACTACACTTAGGTAATTACCAAAGGACAAGGAAAGCATCAAAACTGCAATACCATAAGGAGGCATGAGTGCCACACAGAGAAGAAAAAAAATGTCAAATCCTGGGTGAAGGGTATACTGACACCTGCAGCCAGAAAGTTGCATACCAACAGATATACCATCCAGGAAAATATACAAAACTCTACCCTCTGCTATCAGCAGACACCATCACCAATGTGGCTAAGGATGAAATAAGCTCAACAATCATATACTGTATATTTATATTTTTTCATTCAAAATAAAGAGCAAAAATATCATGTAGGTCATGAGGCAGATGACCAACTTTGTAGTTTACTTAAGAGTACTAACTCCTGAAGAGGGTTAACAACTGAGAGCACTTAATATGGCTATGAAGGATGCTGCATCAATTTAAATCAAAGGCAAAATGGATTTATGTTTAACCTACATAAAGGAAATGCAATATTTAAAAAAATACCATTGTTAAATTTATTATTAATGTGTGGTGAAACATACCTGAGTACGGTCAAGAGAATCCCACAAGCCAGACTGCTTGACTCCAGGACTTAAGAGTCGACACAAAGCTGGTGTCCAGTCTACACACTTCACCAGTATCTGAAGAATGTATGGCAAACAATTGTTGCAACTGGCACAATTGTCTTGTTACTGTATTAACCAAACTCATAATATTTCCTAATATCTTTTAACTGTTGCCATTATAATGAAGACACTCAACTCACACATATGAAAACGAAGAACCGATGACATTTTGGTCCATCCTGGACTTGATAATGATCCAGGGTTGACCACAATGTCATTGGTTCCTCATTTTCAGATGTGTGGGTTGGGTATTGACTCTTCAGTCATGTGACTCATTGGCTGCATTATAATGTACCTGTACAACAGCAGCATAAACAGTGTGAGGGATGAGAGGTGGCGTACAGAGATGCTTCATACACAAAGGTCCACCACAAGGCTCTCCAGTGGTCACTTGGCCTGGGGCATCATGCAGACCAGCCATAATTATCTTGGTGCCAAGAAACTGACGCATCAGTAAACCCTGCAAAAATAACCCCCACCCATTTGACTGACTACTTCACACATAATATTATTTGTATGTTATGAATTTTTAATCATGACAAGTGGAAAGCTACTTTCAGTTTATCTTTAATTATTTGCATATTTCTCTAAAAGTATACCAAGTATACTGTCAATGAAAAGCAAAGAAAATACAAAATCTGCATGTTCATAAATTACAAATTATATTACACATATAATACTGTATATACAATTTTAATCATATTAAAACTTGTGAAAAGTACCACAGCATGAACAAGAAGGTAAGTAATTCCACACAAAACTGGTATTTAGAAGAAAAATATCCACACACCCTGATAATGAGTGGGTACTGAGGCTGAGGTCGACTGGCTACAGTAAGTAAAGTGAGATAAACAGCAACATTGTCCCCTATGTAAGCAAGAGATGACCTTCCTCGGGGAAACAAGGTTGGGTTGAGGAAGGTAAGCCAGGCAGGGGTTGAATCAATACTGGTCTGGGAGTCTGGGTAGCCAGTTCTTTTTACTGCATTGTCGAACCCTTTGTGGAATATCTGTAAATTGTGATGAAAAGAACATTTTAATTTTGTTTGTACTCTCAAGTACAGTCATATTATAAAGTCAATGGAATGAGCTATATAAACACTACGCACAGAGCAGAAACCTTGATTCATTTAAAATTTTGCCATTGTAACTCCATTCGTAGCAACATGGTATGGTCCACAGTGGGTCTTCTTAGCATGGTGAAAAGTTAAAATAAACAAAAGCATTCAAACTGAAAGTCATATTGTATCATAACAGACAATTTTATAAGCTCTTACCCGTGCAAGAATTTCAATTGGGGCACACTTAAGGGCAGCAACTTTCAGTAACAAGTCTGCTCGACGATGAATAGGCAGTGCAACTGATTCATGGATCCGCACAGAGAAAAACATCGTTGGAGAGGCTATAAGGGAGGGCAGAAAGGCTGCCACAACTGTAAGAATTGCCACTATGTCTGCTGAGTATTGCAACATCCGCACATCACTTGGTTCAATCTGTTGGTTAAGAGCACAGAATTGATGCTGGCTATTAAATGCAGTTCAAATCAACTACTATATATACCAAAGCAATATCAAAAACATAACTGTGTAACAAAAGAACAAGTTAAGAGTAGGTGGTGTTGCTTCAAATTTGCATAAATACTGCTAATGCTATTGATATGACACACATATTGTTCATAAAACCAGCGTTGAATGTAATGAAACACCATTTTCTGGGTAAGACCCGGAGGCTTCCCGGAGCTATCCAGGCACCGGGGAGCCGAAGGGGCTCCCCCAGAAGTGTTTGATTGCTACAAGGTATTGTATGTATGCCTGCTGTAGTGTTCTTGTTGCTGTTATTTCTGCATGCTTCTGGAGAAGTTTTTGATTGTTGAGGATATTCAATGGACAGCTTCTAACTAATTTCAAAGATGTTAAACTCATCAAAGAAGAAAACAGCATTAGAAATATCAAATGAAGGTGCCAAGCCAGGAAGACTATGTAGCACAACAACATTAGAAGGCCTGAGCAATCATGGACAAGACAAATGCCCATTTATCACTACTCCCACAGCAATCCCAACAATGATGAAAAGCTTGGGCACCTGAATGAACAAACAGAAAACACCTTACAAGAGTAAATATAAAACTAAATTCTCTCATTATTTTAAGGTATGCCCAAAACATTGTGCATATTTAATGGCTTTATAATATACTTGTGTACAAATACTGTACCTACTAAGTAGCCACTGTAATATGATTCATCGTACTGTATCTCTTACAATAATATAACAATATAATTTCTGAGTCATAATAATATATTTCTGAGAGCCCCATAAAGTTGTTTCAGTGCTTCTTGAGGGGGGAAGCAGGGGGTGTAAGGAGGGAGGGGAAGGGCAAAGGTGCAGGGACCAAGGGGAAGGGGATGAGGTAGATATTTTTCAGTTGGATTTCTGCACTCCCCTGGATGCTAATTAACAATCTCAAAAGAAAAAACAATGTTTTCAGAACAATATTTTTGTGTGCACCACGAGGTTGTCAGAGGCTAACAGGTGCACAGTTCAGTGGTTAGGAAATGGCTTAAGCAGCAAAATTATTTGTATATCCAAGGTGGTCACAAGAGCATGGGAAACTTGATTAAACACATTTACCTGGGCATATCTTGTTACTAGAAGACTAAGGGTGTCAGTGAAGATACTGGCCAGAATACTCTCACTGATGCGTGGTGAAGTGTACCGCCAGAGGTCATTACGTATACCTGCCAACGATATGTAGTCATTATGTATACCTGCCTGTGACACGAGTTCATTACATACACATGCCAGTGATGATAACCATCACTTAAATATTCTAAGAAAATTGTTTTTCAAGGATCTATTGTCTCAGAGAAGAGAATACATAGCACTTGAAGGAAACTTGTGAGGCTCCCTAATATGCACTTGCATAGACACCGGACTTCTAACAACTCGTTTATCTCTTAATTTTATTTTAAAACTTAGTTATGAAAGATTGGTTACATGAAAGATACAAAGTTAATAGTCACAGTTTGTGAGCTTCTCTAACTTCCTGGATACTGAGCAGAAACCAAGAATCCAGTGTGTTGCCACACTGTATTGCTACATAAATATGTTGGGTGGGTGTTGTAGGTAATACTATAAGCCTTTAAATATCAGAGGCATGGAATATGAATAACAATAATATAAGAAAGATTTTGGACATTCAGAAACTAATATATAATCATTGGTTCAAGACTTGTTACAAAAAATAACTATACATTGGACCAAGATGCATAACTGCACTGGCTCTTCAATACATATAAAGTTCATAGGTAAGAGTGGAAGCTGGAATACACGTCACCTGAATCCATTTCACAACACTATTACCTTGCATATAGAATGACCACATCTGGAGAGTTAATGATGATCTGCCATTTTCTTGGTATGGCTTAGGATTTGTCCAGTCGTGGCTTGCAGCATCGTGCAGTAATGATGAATGGAGTAGGTCACAGTTGTAGCTCAGAATATTCTGCATCATAAACTCCACAACCTCACCACACCGACCAAGTGCAGTTGTCATATTCCTAAAGATTCAATAATTAAAATAAAGCATTTAGTAATGAATCTTTACCGGATTTTCCAGAAGAACATGGGTTCCATAGAGGAAGAGATTGTATGGATCAAATATTTGTAGAGGAAAAATAGTAGAAAAGGCAAGTAGGAATCATTGCAAAATTAACATAGTCATTATGAATTCAGAAAGAACATGACAGTGTTAAAACAGAAAGGGATTCTGGAGTAATAAGTATGAATTTGGCATAATTCTGTCATCTGCAGTCTGCATTTTTATTTTGGAAGTAGAACATGTGAGTAGCTAATGTTTTACTGAGTGACTGTTTTGTTATTCATTGTACAAAAACATTATTCAGAAAACAGGAAGCTGTTTTAGAAAGGATGGAAATGCAGCATGATGACTGGTGGATGAATAAATGGGAATGATGTAGACATAGGAGAATGTAAAATAGTGAAGATTAGATTCAGAGTAGGAGAGAATACTGTACCTTGAAAATCTCAAATAAGTTTTTGGACATCTTGTTGTCTTTACTCGCAAACCACACCAATGATGATACTCTTTAAGATACCAGTGCTCTCTAGGGTGGAATGTTGTTACACACCAACAGCCTCATTTAAAGTTAAGGAAATTGCTGACCTGGAGAGCATGCAAAGATCATTTACTGCTAGAATTTACTCAAAAAAAGTCTAAATTACTGGGACCGTTTAAAATTTTTAAAACTGCATTCCCTAGAGTGCAGGCGGGAGAGATACATAATAATTTACACTTTGAAAATACTCAAGGACAGGTTCTAAATCTGCACACAAAAATAACACCACATGAGGCCAGAAGACCTTGCAGGATTTGCAAAATAGCCCTATTGAAAAGCAGAGGTGCAATAGGCATGGTAAGAGAGAACTTAATCAACATCAATGGCCCAAGATTTTTCAACATTCTCCCTCTACACTTATGGAGCGCAACTGGCCGACCTCTTGCAGTGTTCAAAAGAGAACTTATTAAATACAGTATCTTCAAAGAATACCTGATCAACCTGGCTGTGGTTCACATGTCAGGGTGTCAGTAGCTTCATCAGACAGCCTGGTTGACCAGATCACCAATCATAAGGCCTGGTCAGAGACCAGGCTGTGGGGATGTTGATCCTCGGAGTCATTGACAGATTTAGGGTCTAAAACCGATTTAGTTAACTAGCTAATAAATTATTAGCATTTTAAACACTTTGCTTCTAATTGTTGACAAACACCCATTAATCCTTAAACTGTTCCTGTCATTCTCAAACAATAGACCAACAATGATCCTATCATTTGTGAAGGATTTAATATGCCACTTAATATTCAAAGCTGCTAAATATTCTGTGGTTGTCATTCAACACTAGAGACCTCTGGCAATCGTTTACCATATTGGTAAACAAATCATGAAAGCCTTAGTTATCTTCCTGAGCATTATTTAAAAAATTGGCACCATGTCAAGTGCATCACCATACATTTACTGATACCTATGTTTGGAACCACTGATGCCATGCAAAATTTTAAGGACTTTTATGAACCAGGAAGATATTTGTGGTAAGGAGAACTATCATAAATAGTTCACAGTACAGTACTTGAAAACATATTCTCAAAATTTGACATTTTCAACATTTCTTCACCTCACCATGGCCAAACTAAAATTATTAGAATTTTTTTATTTTCCTGACATCAGAAATAAGTACAGTACCTTACAATATAAAAGTGAGAAATAATTTTTTTATTATATGCACCAGGAAAGGATTTTAAAAATATGGGTGCACAGTTTGAGGGTTAAGCTTTATAAAATGCATTCATTTTATGTCTTACTACCATAAATACATCTCTATTTTGTGATAGTGTTGCTTGGATTTAATTCATCAAGGAGTTCCTGAAACACAAGCGAGTCTATATGAAGAAAATGACTGAGAATTGCTGATCCTAGAAAGCTAACCTGAACATGCTGTGCAAGATACACATACATATTTAAACTAATATTTATTTTATCCTGATTTTATCCATAATACCTGCATTTAGTGTGTTTGGCAAAAATTATTAAAAAGTTTACATCTTAAGTAACCAAAATTAATGAAGAGGTTAACTGAAAGACAAAATAATTGATATTTCTAATAAAATGATTGAATTGTTTACATACAGTACATATGAACTCACTTTGAGGTAGGTTGTTTGAGAATGTCCTTGTAAGCACTGAGTCTACTTCTCACAAGAGCAGCTGATGCCAGACATATAAATAAGATCTTGTTGTTACCTGCTATAAAAGCATTTTCACTCACTCTTTTTACATGATCTAACATGTAATTTGATGTTTGTTCTATAATAGACAATAACATTGCTTTAGGTGATAAATGTTTAGGCTTTCCAATGGCAACAGTAGGAACAACTTTTGGCTCCACTGCCTTTGAAGTTGACGAGACTATACTTCCTGGGGTAGAAGTGCCTGCATCGATTGGAACGTGACGACGCACAGGGTAGAGCATGACTTGTCCCTCTGCCCCTACCATGACCTCGGAGAGAAGCACACCTCGTGCTTTGTCGACGGTAGGGTCAATTGTATGCTTCAAGCATTCTTCCCACTCACACACTCCTGCACTAATGCTAGTTAGTGCTGATATAGGAGTGTCCCGCTGGCCTCCAATGGCATAGGCACATACAGGTTTTACTGTAACCTGTTTAGACTTCTTGAATTCAGCCCACTCAGCATGCAACCCATCCTTAATTGCACTCATTAATTTTGAAACATCTCCACCAGACATTATTTTTTTGTTTCTAGGTTCCGATACTAAAATATTTTGAAAATTAAATATTTCCGAGCCCTATATCTTTACCATAAATATGAATATGCACATACAATACAGTATTAGGTATTCTCGATCACATTTGGAAAAAATATATCATACAAGACTTTTATGGTTTATACATATCGATTTTAATCAATGGTCACCTTATGCATGGCAAATACAGTACAGACAAATTAACTATTCTGAATAGATGCACTTCAACCTGGTTAGCTAATTGGTGCTGCTGCTTCCATAGGCACAACCGGAAAAATCAATATTTGTCTTGAAAATTTCTGATAATTCTTGGCTTAACAGATGATGGAGTGTCACTCCACTGTGCTTGTAGATCCACACACCATCCACAAAATCATATCTTTTAGGGCCACTAACAGGAGACGAGAGCCAGATCTGTTTATTTGGAGTCTGCTTGTTGATGACGTATGTTCCCGAGCTCCCAAGCTGAAGTGTTAGTACACCAACCTGTTGATAGAACCAAGACAGATATTTTAAAGCTCATCACAACTCATTCAGCACTCCACATGCTGCTCCTATGGTATATACCAGGAATAATTAAGTTGTATTGTTATTTATATTACAAAAATAATCCTCCAAACATTTCATCTTCAAGAACATTGACATGTATCATGGTAGTTATCCCTCACGCACAAGAATTGCCTCCTAAGGGTGACATTTAATGGAGCGAAACAAATGACAGAAGTGCTTAGGAACACCACGTAATTACAAAATGATGAGGAAGGGAAACTATGGTCACTAACACAAGACATTTCAAAGAATGACAGAAGCTAAAACTAAACTTTGATGATGTGAAGTGTCTATATGTGAGTAGGAACAAAGGAGAAATACATTTTTCTTTTACTAGGTGATAAGGATTGGGAAGCCTGTGAAATGGAACATAAAACAAAACAAAATCATTAAAAGGGGAGAAAAGGACAAAGGGAAATGGAACACGTTACTGAAAATCGTATATACAGTACTAATATAGATAGAGCGAGATAAAAAAAATACTGGAGCTAAATGATAGAATTCAGCCAACGATGTTGTACTAACAGATGAAGCACAAAAAACTATCATACTAACTTTTTTTTATTTATTAAAGTTCTAAACATCTACTAAAACTTGATGACTTTACAGATGAAATTACAGCTATAAAGCAAACAACCTATTCCAAACCACACACAAATTCTCTAGAAATAATTCAGAAGTTCATTCAATTACATTATGTTAGATTATTACTGTTAAAGAAGCAAATGGGGATTGAATTTATAAAACTAGCAATGAATGTAATTAAATACCTCTTTCTAGGCGAGACCTGATGGCTCCCTAAGGATATTTCACCGAGATGACTCCTGACTACTAGGTCGCATCATCTGGGGAATTTGATTGACCTACTGGGGACCAGCGCTAGAACCTGGCCTTCCGAGGCACAGGGAGTGGGGTGACACTCCCCAGGGAATGCATCCAGAAAGTCAGAGAACCAATACAGACCACTGCTTTGTTCAAGGATGCAACCTAGTAGTTGAGAGCCACAAGGGGCACCCCCAAAACCACTAATCTCACTTCAGTGTGTGTGTGTGTGTACACGGAAAGTAAGTGTTATATCAAACTTACCGAATACAGCACATCACAGTCTCCAGGAGCATGTTCTGATGATGTGAGCTCCTCCAAAAAATCACTGAGAGACTCCAGTGTTTCATCACTCAGCTGTTCATATATTGATTCACTTAATCTGCAAAATATAAAACCTTTACAGGATACCAGTAATAAAAAGCTGTTTATCAATTAACTTCATCAAGACAGTAAGAGGTATACAGTAGGAAAATTAACTTTCCGTGCTGTAACTGTTAGCAAAATATTATACACAACCATAATGGCGCAGAAAAGGCAGAGATGGTAAGGATCATTGGTAAAGTCAAATCAACCAGTGTAAAGTCATGCCTTGTCTTTGTCAACAAAACACTTCCATGTTAAAACAAGTAACAGTTTACTTGAATTATATCAGATCTTGAGTATTTTGAGGTGGACACCGCAGAATTACAGTGATATTGTGCATGGAGAGAACAGTGAGTGAAGGTGAGCAGCACTGTGGCTCAACAAGTCACAATGTAGGACAGAAAACAGATGCTTTTTCATCCATTGGGTTATAAATCCATGGAACTCTCTACTGCAAAAGCCATAAATGCCAAAACATTACATTGCAATGCAATGTAATGTAAATGCAATATAATGCAATGTAAATGCCAAAACTGCAATTTAAGATCCATAATAAATAAAATCTTCAGGACAAATGGGGGGAGCTTTGACACGTGGCTGTTTCCTGGTGGTAAATTCAGGTAAATACTTGTTATGCCGAGGCAACACAAGACATTACCACCGAGAATTATGCAGCACCAATCACCAGCTCACAAAAAAACAATTGTACTCTAACTTATGATATGAAGACCACAGATAGCACTATGCCTGGGTTCAGTGCATTTACTGGAACACATTGAATGGTTGATCCTGCTCCAACAACACAACTGAAAGCTATTCAGTTGTTCCTTACAATGGAGTTGCTGTAGTTCTTTGCTGTTAAAACTAACCCTGTTACCAGTAAGAAGAGCAGGGGAAAAAATATGCCCATTAGGATCAAACGTCTCTGCTTGACAATCCTCCAAACTGCGCTATGCAGTTTTGCCAATCTGTACACTACCCTACTCTTGTGTCATAGGAACAAATACTGAGAAGAAAAGTAATGTTTACAGCCAATAACAGGTAATTAAGATATCTAGCCCAGAAACATGTATATAATTTGGTACCCATAACCAAACTAACTAACTAGAAAACAGATTGGTGAGGGAAGCCTAAAAAAGCATTGCCAGAACCCGTGCAGCTGCAACCTTGGGAAAACAAAATGGACATGTTCCCCCACACACAGGTGTAACATTCACCCATGATAAAAATTAATGCACAGTACAAAACGTAAAAATTACTGTATCATTATTATTTTGTAGTTATTATAAGAAATTTATCTTACAATCTCATTATCTCAAACATTTAACTATTAATGATGCTTGAGCACTCTTATCTTCTCAAAAAATCATGCACACTTAAATGCACTTAACTCAGTCATATTATGCAAGTTAATTTTCATATTACATAAATAACATTTAAAATCTCTTGAACTTCTTTACTCTAAATATGGAAAGCTAATTAAAAGCCAATATATAATAATAATAATAATAATAATAATAATAATAATTCATTGTGTTGGGGAACAGGAAGCCAGTGTATTTATACACGGTTGACTTTTGTCGAGGTCGAGTACAAAATATCCATAACAAATTTAACAATATACATGTATACTGTATATACCGGTATATATACAGTATATTTTGCAGTACAGTACATGCTGATTTTGTTAGCTTGATCATAAATGAAAGTTAATATCTTGTTATACTTACTCTACTGAATAGTTATAAACACAAATGAGATTAACCAATGGAGCAGCACACTGTTGAAGAATGCTTGGCTTTGAGTTGAATGATATTTTCTGTTGAGGATGGTAGCACAGGAACCTCAGCCGAGACAGTTGCCAGCTGGGTTGCCTGGGCAGAGACAGTTGCCAGCTGTGTTGCCTGAGCCAAGACAGTTGCCAGATAGGTTGCCTGGGAACATGTTTTACTGTCAGCCTTGCACTCACAATGTTCATACTGAAAAAAGTAAATATTCTTCATATTCTGTAATAGAATCAGACATTCAGAAAATCAATTCAAATGTTCTGCACACATATTACATACATTATTTCTGCATATAAATTTCTTTAAAACAAGCCTTGATAATATTTGTGTGGGTGAGCCAGTGATCATTTAGGTGGCCCAGCCAGTGTCGTCCATTTGGATTATGGACTTGTGTGTACCAAGTAGCCTGTCTATGCTATTATAGGAATGTTGTGCAAATGTGTTGAAAGAAAGGTGGGTGTAATAGAGATCAAAATATACTTGGTGCATATCATAACATCAACCACTTAAACATTTTGGTCAATATCTTGACAAGTACTGTACCATTTGAATTGTCTGCGGTGACATTTTATAGGAAAAAATTGCTTCCATTTCACACAGTTTGTTTCCTTATAATTTAGTCTTTTAGCATGAATTCTTACACAAATAGTATACTGCATTTTAATGCATTACAAGAGAGTAGAGTGGCATGACACATAACAATTTGGTGGTCTGGCCTTTCCACATGTTATCAATTGTAAACATTTCGGACTCCAAAAGGCCTAAAGTGATGCATAAAATGTTTACTTATTACATGACAATTGGAACAATTATTTATCAAAACGAGCACAAGTTTTGAAAGCATCTGGTTTAACGTGCCTATTAATAGAGGGTGACTACTGGGGGCCATAACGGATAGATGTAATCTTAGAAAACTGAACTATGCTAGCTAATGATAGTGGATATAGATCAAATGAGCACTAAACTGAATACTGTAGAACAATATAGGTTACACAATACTGAAATGTATTTTGCACAAAAACAGAACAAAACAAGCACTTTGTTTGCAAACACTGGGGTGTCACTGACACCTATTATTCAAGACAGCTTTAGGATGGGGCAACTATATTAAGAGTAATATAGTTGCTCCAAAATTCTTAGAAGTTCCATTGCAGACAATTGCATGTTCCTGTTAATTCCACATAACTTATCCATAAGAATTCCACATTCCAAGAGGTTCTCCAATAATCCTATGTGCACTAATTACAAATGATACTTCTCCCTAAGGTTTCCAGGAATCACTCAGGACAGCCAATAAGTAACCAGTAAGATGATGGTCAACTTGCCAAGCCAGGTGAAATGTGGAATATAAGCTGCCAAGAACAGAGCTTTGTCAGTCTAACTCCAATTATGATTCCTCCAAAGCTATTGACATTTGCCAGTATACGATTTCACTCTTTCACAAGACGCTACAGCCTCACTACAGAGCAGACAGCAATTCTGGCCTTATTCGAGCTACCCCCTCTCGCCCTGCATTCAAGCTCTTTACCCCAGCCTCGTTCAAGTTCTCTGCTCTCGGTTCCAGGCCTCGCACAAGCATCCACATCTAGGGTATCATGACATATTACATTTCCAACATCCAACTGCTATATCAAAGATTATATTAAATGTAAAAAAAAATATATATTTTTTCAATGTCATCCAAAAAGATGTTACAAGGAAATGTTTTGGATGAATACAAGTCACATTGTACCCAACAGTTCAGAAATGGCCATTAAACTAAATATTTAGTCATTCATTATACACTTCATACCCATCCCGTGGGAAGTGGCAGAAAGGGTTATAGTGCATAAAGTACAGTTTTGACAGTCAGAAAATTAACTCTTGTGTACAATTTGACCATACCCCACTATGGACCTTAATGGCAAGGGTAGCACTACACAACAAGCCAAGCACCACTGTGGGCTGCCCTCAAAGACTGAATTTGCTTATTTTCTTACCTATGACTGTGTAAACCGCAACCCACACACAGGATGGGTATGAGGCCCATAATAAACTCATAACAGGGTTGATGTCATTGAAACGTTTTAAAGTAATGAACTTGGAGAATATTGATCCAGACCACTTCTTTAAAAGGACTGATGCAAGACAAACAAGGAGCAACAGTGTCAAGCTTAACCATCCAGAATGCAGGACAGAAAACAGGGGGATGCCTTTTCACCTATAAGGATATAACCACCCACCTGTAAATTCCAAAACAATGCTGAGAAGTAAAAATCTAGCTCGATAAAATCATCAGGATAAATGGGGTACCTTTGCCAAGCTGCTGGTTTCCTGTCCCCAAGGCCACTAGAAAGATGTTAGCCTTCAGAAGATATATTACGCTAACACACGAGAAACTGTACCCTAGGCATAAGGGGGAGTGAGCGCCCATAACAACCAACACTATAGATTTAAATTTTTTACTCGGGTAAAGGTACAAACATTGAAGATGAGTTAAAAACATAATGTTGGATTTAAAGATAGAGCTAGTACATACAATACCTGTAGCCTCTAGTACGCACAGCGTTTCGGGCTTCCCTGAGCCATTACTCACTATTACTTCACCCTAAGGGGCTCTCATGTCAGGGGCAGGGGGTGTATGTGAGGGGGTAAGGGGGTGGAAGTGAGGACCAACCTGTGAGGGGGAAGCTGTTGTTGTTATGGAAGGTCACCTTAGCAACGCCGGTCAGCTGATTCGTGTTGGGTTCCCAGGATGAACGACGACTTCTATCATCCTATCATGTGTACAATATTTGTTTTTTGTTGGGGGATCGGGGCATAATAAATGAACTAACTTTCTTCATGCAAACTGCACGTACCAACACGAAGCAAAAGAATATATTGCTGATCTTTGGACGCAGGGCCTCATAATCCTTATACATAAGCAAAACGCGAACAATGAAAAAAAAAATTCTAGTAAAATATTTTATATTCATTTTTTATGTATATATACAGAGTTCTTACAATCTTGTACAGCCACTAGCACGAATAGCTTTTAGGGCAAGTCCTTAATCCCAATTTTCCCCGGAATACGAGTCCTAGCCAAATCGTTTCATACCCATCCTGTGGGCGGTAGTGGAAAGGGTTACAGAGGCACATTTATTTATTTATTTATTTGATGGGCTCAGGGACTGAACGCCACAATTCATTTACCTAAGCAAGTTACAATCCCATAAGTCCAGAGGGCCAGCGTCCCCCAGAGATCATGTGGCATCATCGTCAATTGTTAATTTTAAGTTAGTTTAGTTCATCCTTAAATGAAAACGGGGATGTCATATTTTGCCCAAATTAAAATGTTTTTTTTTTCAGGTAAAGTACATACATACGAGGTGTGATACAAATATTGATGAATTTATAGATAGAGCTAGTACATACAATGCCTAAAGCCACTATTACGCAAAGCATTTGTGTAATAATTGACCTATAGTTTCAATACTACGATGGATATTTTAATCCAATAATACAATATCCAATGACAATAATTGATCTATAGTTTTAATACTACGATGGATATTTAAAATCTGATGCTTGAGTGTTTTTTTAGCGTGATTGTACACATTTGGAAGTTTCAAATCAAGTCATTTTATATAGAAACGCCCGAATTATATTGCCCGAAACGCTGTGCGTAGCATAACATTCTGAGATGTATATGTTTACCTCTCAGAATGTTTGGTAATATGTTTATTGTTTGTGATGTGTGTCTATGTATATATTAACACGTTGTACTGAATGGGGTGAGAATAGCTTGAGCTACCTCATCCCTTTGTGTGTATTTTACCTCAATAAACTTATTTCAATTTCAATTCAATTTCGCTGTGCGTATTAGTGGCTTTAGGCAATGTATGTACTGCCTCTATCTTGAAATCCAACATTATGTTTGTAACTCATCTTGTATGTATATACGTTTACCTTGTTACGGTATCAACAATCGAACTGGTTACACAACTGCTGGTTGGGGTCGTTTCAGACACGAGACGATTCGGCTAAACTCCTTTTCTGTTTTAAAACCGGATGTGGCTTTACAAGAATTTAAGAATTCTTTTTTATATATATAAATAAAAAAAATAAAAAAAATCAGCTGACAAATCTTCTTGTGTGCGATGACACTTATCTCTGGCATAATTAAAATATTAAGTTAAATAATTCGTTTGTTAGACAATATATGATATTCAGATCTATAAATTTTTTTAGAAAGGCCTTTAATGCATATAAGTATTAATTTACACACTCCTAGCGCTATAAGCTAGGAATTTCAATATGGCGTTCAAATAATTTTAGGCAGGGGGTCTCTGGGTCGGTTGGTCGCTTGCGGGTCACTATGGCGCCGTCAGTCGTCAGGAAGCAGCCGTGGTGTGAGGTACGTCGCTCCCGTGTAGGAAAGGCTGGTAATTTTTTTTTTTTTTTTTTTTTTTTTTTTTACTATTATATCTGAGCAGTTGGGAGGTACGCATGAATATATATATAGTCTACCTACAGTGCTTAATGCATTATATATTTATTCGCTATAATAACATTGAGTTTTTTGTAATGTCTCCGAGGGTCATTGTTTTTTTCATCTGGGTTCTGTAGTATTCAAATGTTTGTATTACACTAATGCTAAATAGTCTGTCCTCTCTCGGATATTGTGGAAGATTTTGAGGATCATGATTTACCAACATTATATGGGTAGGATATTATGTAGAATACACTTCCCCAGTGTTAAACAACCCCGTCGTCAGGCAAGGCTCGTTAACGCGGCGGTCGACCCCCCCCCCCTCCCAAGTCGAATTTATTATCGATTTTTATGTCCTGTGTATTAAAAATAGTTTTTATCGTGTATAGATTAATTTTATATTCTATGTTTAACTAGGCGTATAGTAGGTTCGGTATTTAGGTTTTGTTGGCAATTATTTGCACTTGAAGTATGTGTAGGGTGAAGCATTTACAGTTGCCTGTCCTCAGGCCAGGCGCGCCTACGCGGCCGCCCAACTCAATTTTATCTCACTGGGTATTCAAAATTATTCTCACGTATAATGTAATATTTCAAGTTAATAGTTTAAAAATTAAGTTTAGTGTCAAGCGATAGTATTTAATTTTTTTAATTTTTATTTATTATTTTTTTTTTTTTTTTTTATTTTTTTTTTTATATTTTTTTTTATAAAATTTTATTTTTATTATTTTAATTTTATTTTTTTCAGGGATATTCCTGCGCGGGCCCTAAGCCTCTGGCTGGCCCGCTAATTGTTGTTGACCAGACCACACACTGGAAGGTGAAGGGACGACGACGTTTCGGTCCGTCCTGGACCATGAACTTGGACCATTCTCAAGTCGATTGTGAAGAGGAAGTAGATGCCGGCAATACACAAGCGAGAGAGAGGTGAGGAACAAAGTAAGGTGTAGTAGAGGGGGATAGTATTAGGAATAAGAACTGCAGAGGGCCTATTGATCCATACGAGGCAGCTCCTATTATAACAACCGAATGAGGAGATAGTAATAGGAATAAGAGGATAGTAAGGGAACGTAAGAGAAAACAATGAACAGAATAAAAAAAAAGATAAATGGAAGGTTAAGTTAAAAGTTAGCTTGTTAGGTCACGTTTGTTAGAAAGATTGCAAGCAACACTAAGTGTTGTTTTACTTGGGCGGAGTATGAGTATTTGACTCGTATGGTCGCTTCAGTAAGATTTTGTCCCACGTGTTAAACAACTGCTCTGTTGAATCTAAGTTGAAATCTTAATGGGATTGTAACTGTGCACTGTGTTAGATAATGTTCCAGTGGTCTGTCGGGCATTTCTCCACAGTGCTGACATTTCCTCTCATCTTCCGGAACCTGTAAGCCTATTTCCCATGCACATGGGAACGGGAAGGAGCGGGGACACCCCTCCAGAAACTGAATTTACCTGAAGGTCCACTAACACTAATGGCTCGTTGAGGACAGTAAGCCGGCGGCTTGTCACAGGTCCCCCCCATTTGCCCTGATCTTTTCCAGCTGTATTTTAAAACCCAGCACATTTTGGCGTTTACGGCATCGGCAGGTAGGCGGTTCCACGGGTTTACAACCCTATGGGTGAAAAACATTCTGGCTTGTTGAGTTGGAACCCGTTGCTCTTTGTTTAACAACTGACCTTTTGAAGACATTGTCCTGATCGACATCCTCCAAATTGTTTAGTATTTTAATGGCTTCTATGAAGTCCGCTCTGTCATGCCTGGTTTGCAGTGTTGTTAGCCCTGTGGCCCTCAACCGTTTCTGATACGAGATGACTAAGCTCTGGTATGATTTTTGTCGTAAGACATAGCTCCATAGCTCTGGTAAAACATGGCTCCAGAGCAGCTATGTCTTTCTGAAGATGAGGTTTCCACGCCTGGATGCAATAATTCATGTGGGGGGCGCACCAGAAACGTACACAATTGAAGGTCTACTTTCTTTTTCTTGAAGGTATAGGTACTCATGATTATTCCCAGGGTTTGGTTTGCTTTTTTACTGCCGCTCCCACTTGTTGTACAACTATCAGTGATTGGTGGATTCTGACTCCATGATAAAGTTGATGATTTGGTAGTTGTGTTGTGTATTGTTATGCCTCACGTGATGGATTCTGACTCCAAGGTCCTTTTCTTCATACATCTGTTGAAATGTAGTGCTGTCAGGTTGGTAGTTGTGACGTGGGTTGTTATGCCCCACATGCAAGGTCTTGCATTTATCGACATTAAAAAGTAATCTGACCATTTGTGGAGTTCATGTAGATTTTTTTATAAGGTTTCAATATGACTTTCACTTCCCACTTTACCATAGATTTTACTGTCATTTGCAAATTTGATGTGGTTTGTAATATTCTTATGTCATTATCTATATGACAAAAAAGGGTTGGCACCCAAAATGGACTCCTGTGGCGCCCCACTTAGCACATTGGTGGGGGGTTGGATGAGATATTAGCTTGCTAGGCTTTTGGTTACTCAACTGGTCAGGGTCCGGTTCCACAACTGGTCGGGCTACGGATATATAACTGATCGGGCTCTGGTTACTTAACTGGTCGGGCTCCGGGGTGTCATTTGGGCTTCGGGTTGTGCATGGTCGGGCTTCGGTCGTGCATGGTTGTGCTCTAAGGTTGTCTGCTAGGGATCTATACTTATATGTTTGCTAAAAATTCGAGTTTCTTTCTTCGTATATAGCTCAATTTTTCTTTTGCTATGGCTCCATAGTTGGTTTCTAAGGCAAGTGGAAGGTTTTAGGTAGGGCTAAGGAGACTTTTGTTTGGTCGAGCTAGGAATGGATTTTGATTGGGCTCTGGGGCTGTTTAGCTTGTTGGGGGGTTGGATAAGATGTATGCTTGCTAGGCTTTTGATTAGACAACTGGTCGGGGTCTTGTTACACAACTGGTCGGGGTCATGTTACACAACTTGTAGGGGGTCCGGTTACACAACTGGTAGGGCTCCGGTTACACAACTGGTAGGGCTCCGGTTACACAACTGGTAGGGCTCCGGTTACACAACTGGTAGGGCTTTGGTCACAACTGGTCGGGATCCGGTTACACAACTGGTCGGGCTCCGATTACACAACTGGTCGGGCTCCGGATATATAACTGGTCGGGCTCCGGTTACATAACTGGCGGGCTCCGGTTACATAACTGGTCGGGCTCCGGGGGTGTCATTTGGGCTTCGGGTT